TTCTCGTCGGAGGCCTTTCTGGGTCAATGCTCTTTCCTTTCGTCAATGCAAACATTAACACTTCGAACAATATCAGTCCGAACATGAAATAACAAAACCAGTCCTTTGTAAAATATTTGCCAAATGTAACCAAAAATGCTGTGGATGTCAGACCAAATCCAATTACTCCGAAAACCATTTTGAATGTCAAATTATTTTTTTCTGGCAATTGCAGTGAAACGTCTTAAACACACAGATTGACAGAAAATTGTGCTCTGCTTTGAAATGAAAATTTTTTGTTGTTTAAATGTCAATCAAAGTCACGTGCCACTCATGGAGTGAAGTAATTGGTGGTCACTGGAAGCGTGACTTATGAATATGGCACAACTCCGGAAAAAGTTTGCCAGTAAGTTCAGTCAGGCCGTTTCATTCCTATAATAAGGTAAATATGACTTTTAGAAAACAAAAATAAACTTAAAAGAGGCTTACCGTGCTAAAAAACTCGATTATGATGTAGGAATTAAGTAAATGAAAAAAACGTGTTTTCCTTTTCTTTCCGATGAGATTTTACTGTTTAATTTTCCGAATTATTTTATCGACACTTATGTACTGCCCCTTGCCTCGTTAACTAAATTCCTCAGTTGAAACTTAGTGTTGGCTCGATAACGATAAATAAGACTGTACACAGACATCTGCATGTATTAAATAACGCTGAGAAAATTGACGATTTGACAAAAAATGGACATTAGACGCTGGCGACAAACCAAATGAATCTTAAGGTAGTTTAAGACGACTCGGTGAATCATTAATATTTTACTTAAACTTAGGTAGGTGTGTTCCCGGTTGAGAAAAAAAAATGTTTTGCCGTAACCTACTTAACTAGCCAAAAAGTTTTAGCGTAAAGTTTTATAAGCATACAGATACCGTAAGCGGTTAGTGTTTGATAGCGAAATAGCATACTTCATAATAGGTACAATTATGTAGGATAGAAATAGTTTAGTTGGTCAAGTTCTTTTGTGCGTAATTTCACAGACCAGAGGAAAACCTGAAAATAACATGCGCATTAAAGGAAAAACACCAGTGTTAAGAAATAGCCGGAAGATCGATATTGACTTAGATATTAATAATCCAGAATGCTTATCGTTTTCAAGGCATTTACTTTCAGATAATCAAATCTAATTTATCTGTCCATAAAAATGAATTAAAAATATCGAAATCTCGTCAGTTTAGGATATAAACAGTTGTCCTGTTAATTCCCGAGAATGTGACCTTCAAATAAATATTTAAATGGAAAAAGAACAAGACAGATTTTAGGCTAGGGAACCACAAAAAAAACACTTGTTGGCACATCTCCGCCATTTTGAATTTTTCCCCTGGGAGACAATGAGTAGTAGGAGGCGGATTAAACTCTATAGTTTGGCGCTTATTCCAACATATGTCATCCTATGTACCAGAGCGTTTAAGACAAAAAAATTATATTGCCAGCATTGTTTCGCTAATCGGTAAATTACCTGGCTACAAATGTTTTCAGAATGCTCCAGCAATTTGCGGTAAATCATATGTGGATTTCAACTCGTGACGTCACCTAACAATTGACTTTATGACAAAGCGAGACACGTGTAGCGCTGAACAGAACTAATTTGCATTTCTTTAGTACTGCAAACACATAGCCAGCCATTGTTTGACGAAATCTCAGAAATATAAATTTTTATTTTCACTTCGCTGTAGAAATTAAAGATGTTGTTATTTCTGCATAAGCTGAGCTAGGTAAAAATTCAAAGTTACCGGAGAACATAGAAATATTAATACCGCCGTTTATCCCTGGAGACGGTAAAAGTTAACGCGTTCGACGATAGGGCGTGGAGAATTTCCATACATAACACACTTATATTTGCTATCCTCGATTTATTTTCAAATGAAGAAAACAGCAAATAACATTTAAATTTCGCTTAGTTTCAATTTCTGTGAACACATTGTTATCCAATATTTCAGTTTCGAGATGGTCTGATTTGTGAATGCTGCTAAAAGTTGTTAATCCTCGGCTCCAAACGAGCTAGTGTTCATTATTGACTTTCTCGTGTTCTAGTTTGTGTGGTAAATAATTCGTTGGATACCTCAGAAACGGCCAAGACCGTTCATGGTCTCATTCATCATGGATTTCACGTCGTCAAGTTTCTGAGTTTCCTCGTAAAGCTTTTCCTTCAACACACTTTTCTCCACCTCCAGTCTTCCGATTTTCCTTTCAGCCGCCTCGTAACGCATTTCCTCATCTCTCCTTAGTTGCCAGAGCTCACGAATTTTATTTTCGAAGGCTTCCTCGCGATCGCCCCGTTTTTCTTCGGAAATTTCCAATTTCCGTAAATGCCTTCCCACGAATTTGTTCTGCTCCTCCAACTCCCTTCCTTTTCCGACGGCAGCTCGCAAACGCATTTTAAAGCGCTCGGTTTCACGAGTAACAGTCTGCAGCCTTCGCCGACACTCGGCACACTTATGCTCGCTGTAATCGGCTGCATTTTCATATCGCCTAATCTCCGCTTCTAGCTTCTCAAACTTGCGTTCGTCCTCCTCCTCCAATTCATCCAGAATCTTTCGCTGCCGATCTTCTCTCTCTTTCCTTGCAAGCTCTTCGCGATAGAATTTCTCTTTATCGAAAATTCGATCTTCCACTGCATCTAATTTTTGTTCCAGTAGATGTTTTCTCCTCTTTAGTGCGTCCCGTTCCTTTTCCTTCTCATCCGCCTCGTGGTTTGCGAACACGAGTTTTTTTATTGCGGCCTTTTCACGTTCCTCGGCCTGATCAATTTCGTGTCTGTATCGACTTGTTTTGGCCTTGAATTCTTCCATTTTGTACGGTTTCGAATGTTTGATCGTAACTGGCGTCTGCCGTTGTTTATAATTTTTCTTTTATAATTCGAAATTCACCTGTTTCGCCAAGTGGAATAAATTATGGTCTCCGCCTTCACCAATCATATCAAGGAAGTGACTGGTGGATGTTTTGTATAGTCTGACCAATGGGAATTAGAGGTTTTTAGTTACAAACAAAAGAAATTTCTGCGTTCTCAAGAATGACAGAAGCAACGATCAAAACTTTTTTCCTTTGTTGATTTTTCTGACTTAAAGAGAAGCATGCCTTACGAACGACTCTTTCCCTCCGTTGGATTTGACATTTTCATAATTTATATTTTAACGAAGTTATTCTAGCTCCAGACGATTTCTTTGGACTAAAACATTTACCTATAATGCTGAAGAAACCAAGCGTGGCGTCTAAACCAATGAGCATTTCATATATTTGGATTTTCCCCGCAAAAAACGTTTTATCATTTTCACCTAGCGCTGCCTATATGACCTTGAACAACTGTCTTTCAAGCTGGCGACGTTATCGATAAAGTGTGAAGAGTTCTTAATGCAAATTTAACTCTTTGTTACAGTGTCAACAGTTTTTGTTACTGAAACCATCATTCAACAGGTCAATTGTAATGTGCCGATTTGCAGACAACAGACTAGAGTTACCGCCTTCAATTCAAGCAGGATTTTACAGCGGACCACAGTAATAGAACCGAAGATACTTATCTCACAATTCATTACAAACAAATTCACGAAAGCGTTTGAACTTTACCAAATAAGGTAATAGTTCTAGCAGCCAAACAGCTGGGAGACTTGACTTTTATAACTTACGATTTGAAATACGAAAGCTGGTAGTAGAATCATTTTCACATTTCCTCGACAATGTGGATGAAAGAATATGACAAGCCTCTTTCTTTCAAAATTCTACAAATCCAAAAACTGAAATGCCAGTTTTTGTGAGAGATTTGTCGAGGAAAAACGGACGAAATTTTCTAGCATATAGATCACTTCACAGGAAAACTTAACACGAACGTCGTAGAAGGTTTAAGAAGAAGAAGTCATGTTGTGAAGTTTTACTTAACACCAACAAGTTTTCATGGAAAATTGCATTGAAAGAAAAATTGATGGATTAAATCAAAGGTAAAAGAGGTGACTGGTGAAGAACGCTAGCAAACATGAATGATGAAATCAATAGCACTGCTGTTTAATTTATGTTGAAAGCTTCCTGATCATGCACAATCTCTTTTTGTGTGTTCAGACATTGTGTCAGACTGAGCAAATTAATTAGTTTTTACTGGTTAGTAAGTTGATAATGATTGAAAAGCTTTTGAAAGCTGTGCTCGTCCGGGTCCAAATTAAAAACCCCAACAATAGCCATTAACAAAGAAACATATTGGCTCACCTGAAATGTCATCTTCAGCTACTAGCTATGAGTTATCATATGTTGTATTGATTATTCAGTTAACGATAGGCATTGTCAGGTCCAAAACACCTGACAACAGCAAAAAACTGACTACAGTATTTGTAAATGCGGCTGCAAACTTGTGTTGGCAGAGAAAAAATAAAAAAATAAAAAGTTCGTAACATTTCGGTGGTGTAGAATTCTCCTTATCAGGTTTTGGAATTATGTACTCTGGCTCGAGAATTTTTTTGTGTATACCTAAGGATTATTTTAATTCAAAAGGGAAATTTAATTCCTGTATCGAATAGCCTGCAGAACAAGCGCAATTTGGCGAGTGCTCAGCATGTTGTTGGCGAAAATTATGCACACCATCTTTGATTTAATGGCAATGGAAGGCTGGGTAGAAGAAGAAATTTGCACCAGAGGGGTGAGTAACGGTCAAAAATAAGGAGAGGGTTTGGGGCGGGGGATTGAATATTACACCTATCACCACCCCATCCCCCCACCACTGCCTTTATCTCCAAATCAAACATGGCCGGTTGAATAAACGATCGCGAGCTTCTTAACGTCAACTCGCCCTAATGAGACGCCTGTATTGAAACCTTTACATCGAAGGGAAAACCTCCCGCAATGATCCACAACATTTTGAAGTATTGAGAAGAGAAAAACATAGGATGTTTATCAAATACGTTATTATGATTAGTTGCTACGCACCTAACTGGAAACTTCAAATGTATTCTGAGAATTCAACTATAAAAGAAGCAGATTTATTTTCAAAGAATAAATAAAAACAAAAAAATTCATGTGTCAACTATATAACCCTCTTAATGCAAGATTAAATCTGAAATTCTCCAAATATTTCCACCCTAAATTCGTATGTGCATGGACAGGTTAGGAAAAACATTTCCCATAAATAAAAGCTCAGATCCAGCTACTTCTATTGACCTTCCTCTTTTGTCAAATTAACATTTGATAGAAAGACGTTGGTAAATCAACTAACTAAAGGAATATCAAAGCCTCACCGATGTAATAAGAAAAAAATATTTACATTTAAGTCAGTTAGTTAATTCTCATCGAACCCTTTAGCACACAAGGCCTTGTCCTCAAACGTAAAGGAAAAGCGAATTCCCTTCTCACATTTTGAGTGGAAAAAATCAATTTTTCCCCTCATTAGTTACAAAAAGCTGCTGTGAGATTTCTACAGCTCTCTTATCCTGCTGATGTAACAAATTCTGTCTCCATTCAGTATGAAATTCTGTGTGTTATCATTGTGCACGTCTATATAGAGTACGCAACGTTGAAATGTACATCAAAACGCGGGCATTCAAGTTCAGATCAACTTGAGGCACGTTTTGGTTGGTGAAATAAAAAACACAAACTGTGTATTGAACTGCATGAGGTGTCACTACGTGCAGAGGCTATCCCGATGTCCCATTTGAAGTTGTGTTCCTCACACAAACCACACTGTACGTAGGAAACCATCAGCTGTAAATGCAGCGAAAACTCAATTAGTGATTAAACTCAATAAGAGATTAAAATTAAGGTGAGACTTTGGTGAACACACGGAGTTACTGTGCAGAATATAATTATAAAATGCAGTGAATGCAATAAAAGCCAATGATCTTTGATTCCTAAAAACAGAATTGAGCCGTCATCTTCACAAAAGGCCTCCCCATCTGGTCCAACATAATCAAAAATTGGTCCGCCATCTTTAACTCTTACTGTCTACTATAAAATTATTGTAATACTGAGAATTTGGTGTTAGATCGACAAATGATCTCCTTATTAGTAGTTTTCTTCTCACTCTCATCACTTGTCTGCTTAACATCGTTTTGATATTGTAAGGAGAAATTCTATCTTTGTCACTCATGGGAGTTGAAGGGCTAAAAGGATGCATGTGGTCCCCAGACTCCTAAAGCCGTGCTAACGCTATGGAATTTGCATATCGAATCCTCACACGACTCGTTCCTATGCTTCGCATATCTACGATAAAAATGGAGTCATGAAAGCTAATACCCTATTCACACCAGCAAAACATGTTTTATTAAACTGATTTTTTCTGAATGAAAATCATAAACAGAGAACTGAAAAACTTAATTTTCCATAGGATTCAAGTACTTGCTAAATTGCATTTCCATTGTGCTAAATTTAAGTCAGAAAAATTTAGGTTAAGTAGTTTCTACGAAGAAAAAAAAGTTAACTGAGTTTAACAAAACAACTCTAAAACATGCTTAAGCTTTGGTGTGGATGGGGTATTAGTTAAATTTACCCTCTTAAAATAATTAGTGCATTTTGGAGACATAAATGAAAAAGGAATTCAGGTGACAAATATATTTTTTTCATGTTGATAGCAAACAACAACACAAAAACGGAGAAAAAAACATCAAACTGACTGCTATTTATAAAAAACAGAATAAGCCGAAAAAATAACAACAACAACAACAACAGAAACAAAAAACAAATATAACGCTAATTCAGATATTGGGGTATATTGGTACACAAAATGACTACATTGTTTCATATCTAATATTCCTCAATTTCTTACCAATGCTATACAAAACGACTTTGGCCTGAAAACAAATAAAAACAGAGTATGTTGTGTTAATGAGGAATAAAGACATATTTTCTAGGAAATTTAAACTACCACCCCTTCGTACCAAAGATATTCAAGGGCGTAGCCAAGGAGTGTCCTCGATGTCACGTGATCCCCTCTTTGTCAAGGGAAATTGATAAATTATAACGGTAAAACCCGGCACCCCTTTCGTTTTTAACTACCAGTGAGATGCTAATTCATTCCCTCCGCCCCCTTTTTTATTACGCTCATTAATTACATAAGAACTTACGATTCTTTCCGTTGTCATCTCAAATACATAGCAATAAAAATTTTTCGCCATATTGCACGTTGTTTCCCTGAAATAAGAAAAAAATTTTCTGGTTTCTTAGTTTGAAGCAAAGAGCAAACTGCCCACGACTAACACTTAAAAAAAGGTTAGTGAAAGAAGTAAAATAGACAACATCACATGTTGTCTAAATGTTCGAGAAGAGGAAAAAAAGTTTATGGAAAAGAGTCAAAGAAGCAGACAGAAGGAGTGAAGGATACACATTGATAATCAAGTAAGCACGACTCTGAACAGGAAAAAGACGCTGTTTTTTTTTTTTTTTTTTACACCCCATGCTTTTCAGAAGCCATGAGACAGACTGACCACTATATTGGCAAACAGGTCGAATAACAAATAGAGAGAGAGAGACGGTCAGTCAGTCGGACACACCGTGAGGCCGAGCGACACAAAAACAGGCAAACATGAAAAATAACTTCACAAACAGTTACTTACCCTGAAACGAAAGCTATCATTTCTTTTCTGTCAGTGCGTCGACCACAAGACGATGTTTCAGTAAATGAGTGTGTTCCCAACACCTAGAAATAAAGGTTTACCTTGAGTGAGTATCTCAATGGGGTGATGGCTTCTACGGCTAATGGTTAAAATTAAAGCAGATTAACGGGTAACGATTAATTTCTTTCCAATGCAGTTACCAGAAAAATATTTTACGGTTAACTTTTTTTACGACTTACAGTTAATAATTATCAAATTTTACACCTGGCTAAATTTTTTGGCCGTTTAACGGTTAACAGGTTATCCCATTGAGACCCTCCTGAGTGATGTCATCCAATGAGTGAAGTCATTTTTCAAGAAATACATGTAAATACTAAGAAACTTTTTATATGTCAACCACACATGCAACTGTTCCCCATTTATGATTCAAACCTTTGATGTCGCTTGATCTGTGACCACAATATTTGTCTCAGTTAGGTTCAGGAAGACAGGCTGGAACAAATATAATAATTTAAAAAAAAAGTTTTAGGATATTTACATCTAGGTGTGTCCAGCACTAACACGAGTAACGGACATCCATTTTAATAGGGTAGTCAGTGTTTATACGACTGCAAAAAATAAAGAACAGGGTCTAGAATAGTTAAGAAAAATATTACCCTTGGTTTGTTGTTCTGTTTTAAAATGTCCAAAATAGAGTCTTCAATCACTGCAACACCTCCATCCTTTGATTGCAAGATAAGAAAATATGAAGAAGGATCAGTGTGTGTTTAACATCTTTCTACAAATAATCAGGTTTCCTCTTTCTCTGTACGCTGCCTCCGCCCCTTTTCCAACTTAGTCAGCGTAGGAGAGCTGGTCAGTAATTTTAAAGTTTGGAACTTGTTGAGTAACTTCCAAATGAGTATCGATAATGTAATCCAGTGTTGTTTTGGTGTTGCTGTATTTTGCTTTGTGATTGGTCCAAAAATTCGCGTCACCCTTGTAACCAATCAGATGCAAAATGAAAACCAATCGTAACTTTGGCACTGTTGCTTCCCCACACTTTTTTTTGCTTAGAAATCTCGCTGCCTCCTTTTGAAAGTATCACTTGCTTATATTGGCTGTTGTGATTAGTTTGGTTTTGGTCCCACGATACGCTATCGAAAATCGCTCTCGTTCTCAAGAATGGAGAGAGGAGCCTGAGACAGAGACCACGCCCCTTCATCCCTTCAATTCCAAGAAGTAGTAGATATGTCACCTCTCCCTCAGCAATGTAAGGACATTATGTACCAGAAGTGTGTTTAGATGAGACAAGCGTATCATGTGTAAGGTGCAACCTAGTTGATATAACACCAACTTCTCCCGACTAATTTACCATAAAATGTATGCAACTTGGAAAAGAGAATTACAGTTCAGATCTTAGACTTAGGTGCTAATTTCAGCCATTGTCGGGTTTTCGGTCACAAGAACGAGTGGATCAGATCAACAAAGTTGTAGCCGGGGAGAACGATGGGATTTTTTATTGTAAAGTCAATCTGGACACAAAAAGTGACAGGTGCATTATATGGCAAGGGTGCGTTGAAATTTGACTAAAGGAAAAAAAAGAACTCAGCGTTATAACCTAGATAAAAAAAATACAGCCAAATTTGAAGTTTACCGGCTAAGCTGGGGAGGGGGGTACAGAAAATAGAAGGCGATTGATCAGCTTACCCCTCCAACTGCCAATTTTCCATAATACGTGGCTGCATATATAGCACTGAAGAGAGAAGAGTATTAAGATTTATGGTCAGACTTCCCATGAACAATAAACCGAGAGAAACTTTCAAGGTACTTTTATAATACAGCTGAAATTGTCGCAACAAAATAACCCTCCTATAGTCTTCCATGCACAATAAGGTACAATAATCAAAATTGGAAAAAGCTGAGTTATTGTACAAGAACAAGAAGCCTGGAAATATGTCCAATTTTGGCCCTCGTGCAGAAGAGAGAATGTGAGTTGTCACGAAACGAGTCGAGAGGGAATTCTCTCAAACCTCTTAGAGACAATACATCTTTCTATGAAATGAAAATAAAATGTCATTACATTGTGTCTGACGCATGAACTGGAGTCTCCTCGAATCCTGCCAGCTGTTGTGGAGCTTTGCCAAAGTCGCTATCCTTCTCCTTGTAAGGATCGGCGGTAATTACAGTCATGCGCTCTGCGGATGGCGGAAAAAGCTGTCCAGTATGGAGTTTGCCCTGTGAAGCGAATGCAACCAATTTTTAGGACAATTTAGCAAATAAAAGTTTTTTAAAAGACTTAATAGTGGGTTAACTCTGAGTTCCTTTGGCCCTTTTATCGCTGAGAAATTTACATTCATTTGAAGAGAAAGACCTGGTTGAACAGCAAGCCTTAACCGAGTCATAGCGCTTCGCTCTTGGGTGAGACACTTTCCACTCATAATGCCTTTCTTCGCCGCGGAGTACACCTGGGTACTAATAAGCTATCAGGAAAACTTGTCAAAATGGATGAAGGGGGGAGGAGAGGGGAAAGGGGAGGGAGGAGGGTAACAATAAGATGGCGCAACATCCTAATTCAATCGGAATGCTACAGAGACCAAGATTAGCTCCAGTACTAAAGAGTCAATGAGCTCAAAGAGTAAATAACGTAGAGGATAGCCTCGTACATCCCGAGTAATTCCATTTTACCCAACCTCGTCCTGAATTATTAATGAAACCTGATCGGTATAACATTAAAGGCCTCGAATCTTACCTTTACTAACGTACACGAAATTGGCCTACCGGTGTTTCGCTTCAGAAGATCAACAACCTTGAAAGGGAACGAACAGTTAATTACACCAGCCCGTAAGAAATTTCAAATGTTGGAAAATCTTTCAGAAGTAAGGCTCCCATGATCTTTGTGTTAGACTCAAAGTTCCATCATGCATGGAGGGGTTCTGGAAATCAGTTCATATGACTTGCTTACCTTGCCAGCCGTGGTCTTGCGCAGAACTATCCCTACTAACTCGTCCAGTGTGTCGCCATAAGCGATGCCAGCCTAAGGAAATGATCAATCAAAAAAGAAAATTGCAAGTCATCGAATTAATCAGTTTTTTTTAAAAATTCTCTTATGGTATTTTTTATATGTCCACACGCATCGCTTCTATCAATATAGCAGCGCATCCGGAGTAAAGGTTGGCTGAAGGACCACTCCTAAGTCAATAATGGAGACCCAATTCGAGACAACTCGCCCTAGCATACCAGCTTGCGCTAGAGTGAACCAGACAAAAAGGGAATGAAAAGGACCAGACACCGAAAAACCACTTTGGAGTAAGTACATTTTCCCTGATGACAACATTATCAACAAATAGTACAATACATGAATCAAAAATTATAAATTGGCTTTTGCTTACATCTTCCGCAGCGCTGTTTTTCCTCACTTGAGCCACTATGACTCTCCCGTTCACAGCTCTGCAAAAACAAAACAAAAAACAAAAAAACAAGAATACATCAATTTTCGGGAATATATGTGTCTGAATGGGTATTCCAACAGGGTTATTAAAAGGTGCCCGTGATTAGCGCTCTCCCTTACAAGATCTACAGTCTGTTATTAGGGAGTTTAAATGAAACCACGACGGCAACGGCAACGGGAACGTCCTGAACAAAAGTTTTAATGAACAGAACAATGGCTGTGTACGTGTGTTATAGATTTTTGTAGATTTCTCTGCGTCCTCTGCAAAACAACAACGTGAAATGACCAAGCTTTGCGTCATCAAGAGAACGTGAACAACGACGGCTAATTTCTTAAATTTCTACCTCTAATTTAACGCTGTGTTCCATTTTCAGTTTCGAGATAGTTTTGACCCTGAAAAACAAACTAAATTACCTTTGAGTATCGCGAGATTGGTTGGTAAAATTAAGATTCACTTTTGAACCGACGTTGTACACGGCGTCGCCGTCGTCGTTTCTTAAATTCCCTATTGGGAACCTTTAGCAGTTTGGAAGGCAACGCCAAAGAGGACGTCGATTGAATGGGTGTGATTACCATCCCTTACGGCGCCGCAAGTTAACCTCAGCATAGCATATGAGAGCGGCGTTGAGTTTCAAATGGAATTTGCCGTCGAGGTTTCCTTTCTCGGACCACGCAAATTTTGATGATTTCACATTGTTATTTTGCAGAGGACGGCTAAGAAATGTACACAGTTTGAAAACGCACGAGCTGAGCTATTGTTCTGCTCATTAGATCTTTTGTTTTACCACGTTCCATCGCCGTCGTGGTTTGCTAAAGGTCCTTATTATCTCAATTGCACTCCGTTTGAACACAAAGTTCCTCACGTTCAGGAAACAGAAAATATCACTCACCTTACAATCAAGCCGAGCTGTTTACAAGGTACGATTTCAACGTGCCTGAGAACCTGAATTTCGCGAGAAAGAAAGCACCAAACGCTCCGATTTATAACATGGAATGGACTTAATTCGTTTATGAAGACAAAAAAGGAGAAATAAACTTACAGGAATCAACCATGTTTCATCCAGGAAACTGCAATTCTGCAGAAGGGGAAACAGGAGAAAACAAACTAGTGATTTTAATTTTCATTATAATACTTTATGCCACCAGAGGACAAACAAAATTAACTTTGAAATTCCGTGTAAAGCAACCCACGAAGATATAAAAACTGCATAACAGGTGAAACCTTACATACAGTTTTGACGGGATAGAGTAGCAGAGCTTATCTGTTTTCTCGACCAATTACAGCAAAGCAGATATGAATACACCCTAATATTTCTCTTTCACGGATGAATTATCATTTTGTCTTTTTATTTCAATAGAAGTTCAACTCGGTAGAATTAAGTAGAATTTCCCCTCCAACCTACCTTGAAGTCCAGGGTGAAAACATGCTCATTTACTTCTTTCAAGATTTCCAGAAACATTTCTGAAGAAAGAAGATGTGCCCATTAACATTGCGAGAAAAATTCTGCTTTCTCTATACACCCGATTAAGTTTAAGAATACGTTTCTTCTGAACTGGTAAAATCAAAAGTTTAATACAACCTCTCATAACTTTATCGCGAACAACTGCAGAGTTTCTGTACCAGTACTGTAATATAAACAAAACAAATAATATTCTGTGGGTGAGCGACTCATGGCTAACAGGAACGTATTCTCCAAAGTCCAATAATAAAAGCAATCAATTCTAGGAGACGGAGTCATCAGGGTTTGACCCTTGACCGGGTCACTGTGTTGTGTTTGGTATAAACCTCTCTACTCTCAAACTGCTTCTTTCCACGCAGACGTGAAAACAGGAACCAACCGAAAACACAGGTGAGGGAATCTTGAAAATTTGTTTGGGGCGACCTGGTCAGACTAGCACCCCGTCAGACTAGCACCCCGTCATAGTGGACCAGAATAAGGTCCAGGACTAAGAGGTCATTATCTTCATAACAAATTCAAATGTTGGTTCTTTCTTTCGTTAGTAGTATAATAAATTAAACCGCGGCAAATTAATACCTTGAGTATGGGTGAGTTGGCTAGACTCTGAACTGTATACGGTAAAAGCCTCTTCATCAGAGCGAGGCGAATGAATTGTCGGCCATATCCCTGGTATGAGTTGATCTGTAGGTATAGATGAAAACACAGAACTCATACGTAATTGTCATTAACTGATGAAAGTAAAGAAAAAATAAAACAAACGAACTGAGAATAATGGGAAAAAAGCGCCAAAGAAGTGAATAACAAAGAGAACTTTTCGCTGTCTATCATGTTAAAGGGCGAAATTGCCTGGTCTCGATGCCTTAGGTGATCTCATTGATATGTGTAACAGCATTATCCAGCCTCATTTTGAATATTGTAGCGTTTTCTGGGGCAGCTTCGGTTTTGGCCTATGTGAAAAAATACAGAAGCTCCACAACCGCACAGCCCGTATTTTATTTTATGCAAGCAATGAGGACGATATTGAAGAGCTGTTACAAGCACTCGGCTGGCTATCTCTGTTAGGATGCACAAAACTTGATTTAGATTGAACCCTGAACATCTTCGATCTCGATTTAAATCCCGAAATGATGTTTCTTGGTACCGACTGAGAAATTCTGAGAAATATATTGGCTATTCCACAACCCTGCACCAACTATTTGAAAGTGAGCTCTTCCTACAGGAGTACTATGTTTTGGAACAGCCTTTCCCATGATATAATAAGTTTTTATTCTTGTAATAGTGTAGGAATTATAAATCAGCTTAGATAGGCAGAATTAGATATTTTATAGTCTCAGATTGTGCCGAGGGATTTTACCACGTATAAATAAAGTTATCTGTATATTATCTTATCTATCTATCAATGAATGCCCGTTGGAACGCTTCGGATAGAGCAGAAATAAAAAGTGAAACTGAGTTGAGAAAGTTCCATATGATAAAGCTTCTTACCTTCTTGCATGATTTTACGAACGTTACCGCATGTATGTAGGCCAACTTCTGCCTAAAAAATAATAACAATAATTGTCATAAAACGATGAAAACAATTAGATGAACAAATGGATGAACAAATTATTATAATATAAGAACTTTTGTCTCAGTATCGAAATAAACCAAATAAAGTAATCACAAAAAAGAGAAAGATGACTAGAAGCCATTGGTAATTCAAAGTGAAAACGAACAAAGTGGTCGTGGAGATTGGCTTCCGGTGCGCATCTGGCTTCCGGTGTGCATCTGATTGATTGAGAGGGAGTTAGAGTTTGCAGTCTCGACCAATCACAGAACAAATTATAAGAAAATTCAAACAGTCTCATTCTATTATCGACACTCAATTAGGAGTTCCAAAAAAGAGACCGCACCTATCGTTGGGGAGGTAATCGATCAGCGCCTCTATCCAACACCAGTAATCCCATTTCTTGAGACCGAACACGGAACCTAAAACGAACGGAATTCAATTATCCCATCAGTAACATCAAAAGCTAAATTCTCGCAGGCGGTTGCCGAGTTAATGATGCACTGCACTCTTGACGCGCACAAACGAGAAGCACTGTCGTTTTTCTGCACGAGTGAATGGTATGCATAACAATACTGAAAGTTTTTACAACTTTCTTCACACTTGAACGAGTAAGCGTAGGTGGTATACATGCCTACCATAAAATCAATCAAAACTACCGGTACAACTATTAATCAGCCGGAATTGTTAGACTTAAGCTTTAGTTTAAATACTCAAGCAATAATTTTCAATTTATTTGGAGAATAATACAGATATGTGTACGCACCCTTAAAGAAAATACTCAAACTATTAATTTGCCACAGTAATGGTTGATTGCATAAGGCGTCCATGCGGCCTCTACGCAGGAAACACTGAACCTCCAAAAGTTCACTAAAATTTAATTGTTAAGCGCACAAAGCTAAAACAGTGACTTAGGTTAGTGTGATCTTAACTGCGTGCAATTTTCGACTGCCATAACTGAAGGGCTGACTTTCTTGAATAAAGCTCAAGTGGACTTAAAAAAAAAGGAATGTCGAAACCTCGATACAAACAATGTCTAAAATCGAATCAACTCTTTGACAAAATATAATAAGCATGAAGAAATTACTTCAATCAAACATCGAAACTCTAAGCAAAATAAGCGTAGTGGGCTTAGTTCTGATCAACATCTGTGTGGATATGGGACACATAGGACATTTTATTTCAGCGCTCTTCCACGCTTGATCGACCTGGAATACTTCCCGCAAGTCAACAAAACAACTCAGATCAACTCGACGGCGCAAAAGATGATAAGGCGCAAGCTGATATGAAATAACGTGGCGTTGAACCCCAATTTGGAGATCGATTGAACTTGGGATTTACACATTTTGCGAGTGCAGCTGGTGGTGGAAATTTGGCGCTCATTCCATGGCTTGTAACTCTAGACAAGACTTGTATGAACTTGTATATTGAATATGCATAAAGCTTTCAAATTATACAATGGTGCAATATATGATTTGCCTGGAGCATTAAGGAACGTATACTGGGCAAAATGCAACTCAAGGCGTAAACAGAAAACAGAAACTTAGGCTCAAGGATTGTTGCGAAAAGCAACAATAGCCGAAAAACTAGCAAACCCTAAAACCATGGATGGTTCCCTCACATTCAGACATGAATACGAAAAGTGTGGCTTTAATAAATTCGGTGAATTTCAAGTTCTATAAAGCTTCATAGAATATACAAGAAAAGAAGGCGCAGTAAAAATTTACCTTCTCATTTTGAGTTAGGTAAAATTCACAGACATCAAGCTGACAATGGTGAAACACAGAGCTATTTAGCGCTTTATTAGACTAACGGAAAGAGCGTGGTTTAAATAGGAGGTTTAGAACTTTCTTTCACGCTTGAAATACCAAGCAATCCTCATGTACCTTAGGCTCTGCTTTTTGGGTGTACGAATTTACAAATCTTAGTAGGAGTTAAAAAAGCAAAGGAACTTATGTAAAGAAACTTGGTCAATTACAATTTTAAAGTCGCAGGATAGAAAGCAGTGCGTCTCTGCATAAGTTTCCTCAGAAGTTGCCGCCAAACTTCCAACATGGCGAGTTTCTTGAAGAAATTTGCATTCGTAAATCAAAACATGCAGATTTATCTTTGCCTTTGGTCTGTCTATATTGACTAGCGCTTGGAATTCAATTTACTTCGGATAATGGAGTAAGTTACAAATTGCATCAAAGCTTCGTCTTCTAAAAAGAAAAAGGCAGAAAATTGCCCACTGAAAATTAGCGCAATTGGTGATGACGCAACAAACTCTGAAAAATAATGATTAACTAGGGAAGTCGTATATTCTCAAGTGGAAACTTCAAGGTCGAAAAAGGTTTTTTTTTTGCGTGCAACGGCTGTTTAAATTTTCGGCTGAAAGATGTTTCTTCGATAACCCGCGCTATTTGATTTAGCTGTTAAGTGCAAAAAGAACGTGATTTGCTAGTTAAAAGCAAGATGGTTTTGGCGTGTGGTGAAATTTTTGTTCACCAGCTAACACCAAGCTCTTTGATTTGATTTTCAACCTTTTGTTGTGGTACAATTTAAAAAGATAAGATTCGCGCGGTTTAATGGATTTCATTTCCACTCGGAAAGTTCATGGTATTAATTGTTGAGACTTAATCGCCGACGAACCGTTCAAGAAATATATATCATGGTGAATCGTTAACTTTTATAAAGAACGACTTCAAATTTTAAGCCTCTCGGCGGAAGAAAATTTTGATTCAAATGTGCATAATTTCAAACAGTGACGCAAACATTTTAAAACCCACTCAAGTGAATAGGTTTGAAGAAAAGTTTCGCGTTTCGCGGTGAAAACAAACTGTCAACGGGTTCTCGCAACACCTGCCAGCCAAAATGAAAAGATAAACTTCTCTGTAATGATTCAGTAATGAATGCATCGAGATTGATTCAAGTTCTTTCTTTTGATGCTTGGTTGAATCGGTAAACGAAGAAAGACACGCATACTAGCCCTACAATGCAAATTATTAAAAACCCAAGGGATATCTCCACGCTTGAGTGAGGTCTCCACCGCCAAAACGACCGACGAAAAAGCAAATCTTTGTCATTAATACAGTGATTTTCGACAGATTGAAAGAAAAACTGGGTTTTCGTAAGAGAACGCATTGTCTGTAAAATCCTGATGTAGCGACGAAAAAACTATTTAATTTAGAAGGACGAAGGAATCGAACCCATGATTACGGCATACACACCATCAAAATTATGGTAATTGAGTCACATATCTCTTCCTCAACTTACTCTTCAATCCAAATCTAAAAATCGCCTCTATGCCATCGCAGAGTGGAGCAAGCAGCACGTTCTCATCTCCAACTGGCTTATTGATGGAACTTTCCAATCGAAACACAACAGCTGAAAGAGAAACATCAAATTTTATGTTTGATATTCGGGCGGGAAATCTTCAGCGGAGCGCAGTGTCTTACTTTTGAGACTGTTAAGACGTATTTCTGCTTGCAGAGTCGTCATCTGTCGTCTGCACAGCTATAAACTCCAGATCACATCCCTTATAGTTTTTTTCAGAAAATCAGCTACATTTTAGCTTGACAAGAACTCCTTCGACTCATTCCACGATCAACCCCGTGATTATTTTGATCACAAAGTGTCAATGGTCATTCGTTTGGAACGACTTCATAAATAAGTAATAACGTTAATCCCATTTCTCGACCAACCATGAATTTCTCCGTGCGAACCGCAGCAGATTGACAACGGAGCGACTTGAAATTCGCTGTAGAAAGATGTGAGATTGCACGATTTACGAATTAATTTATTTTTAAAAAATTGTGAGAAATTCCATTACAAATCTTGAAACCTTAAAAAATTATGTGAGACTTGTATAGGTTCGGCTGCTGCAATTTCGGTGTATATTTGTTTATACTACAGACGCACTGAATTAAATATTGCAAATTCAACATAAAGGGAAAGTTTATTGCGCAAAACCAAGCACAAAATTAAATTATTTTCCTTGGGTAATAACTTTTTTTTCAAAAGAACTGGTTAATTTCCTGTGAATAAGGATTAAATATCAGTTATTTGCTTATGAAAATGAAGATAACTAAGTTGTCGTCGTCTGAGTTTATCGACCGTTGGTAGAAATTCACAGTTTGAATGAAGAAAAATAGAGAGATATATGAGGAAAATTGTGACATGCAAGTGCTTTACTCAAAAGGATCATATACAGACATGAAAGATTCTATACTGAAAAGAAGCCGGTTGATGCTTACATGGCAAAAACAAAAACGCACAATACTGTAAAGGCACACATAAAGTGAAAAATCAAATCACTGTATAAATAATCTGCAAAACCTGAAAGAAACTACTCTTTGGAAAAGGAATTTCACCTGTAACTTCGAAATTCTCCCAATAACATTCATTTATCATCCAGCAAACAGGTAATGAAAATACTGAAACTTATGAGTCAGTTGTCATATTGATCGAACACTTCTCGTAACTAACTTACAGGGAGATGAGTGCAACAAGAGAAGAGAAATAACAATCAGATCTTGGGGGTTAAAGATTTAAAGGGTGAGAAACCATTTTTAAAAATGCAGACGAAATGATAATTGCTATTAAAGGGGCTTCTGGTCACTATGGCAACAAATGTAGGACTCTATTTTTAGTTACTTTTATCGAGCAATTTGCTTCAAACTTCAATGAGGAAATATTGTACGAAGAAGATAAGCAGAAGTCAAAATAAGAATCACAAATTATTCAGGCCTATGATTATTTTTACCTTAACTGGTCATTGAAGGTAAGCAACAGAGCATCCTTTTGATTCATTCACAAACTAATCCACTTGAAATTTAATCATAGGTTGGAAGAACACAAGGAAAGTTTTAAAATATCAAGACACGAGGATGTGTGGGCGATTTTGCTCATTCAACATCCAGAGTAGGCTATCGTGCCGGGGTAAACAGTCCTTTAACTCTCATGAGTGACCAAGACAGAATTTCTCCTTACAGTATCAAAAAATATCAAGCACACTAGTGATGAGAATGAATAAAAATATAAATTTGGGGGTTGTAAGTTGATCCAATACCAAAATCTCTGAATTGAAATCATAAGAGTTGTATGGCAGACGGGAGTTAAAAGGTTAAGTCAGAAATCACAACAGACAATCAGAACAAGGGAAAAGACTGCAACTGAAAGAGCTAAGAGTCAAAACAAGTAACTGCCCGACGCGGGAAAACACGATCGACCATGTCGGTACTGGGTTTAGTTTTAACGACTTCGCTGAACTAATCACAATGCGAAATAAGGTAAAATCAAAGGAATTCTTGATTATTTTTATTTCTCAATTGAAAATTGCCGTTATGTCATAGTGTGGGAATAACAATGGATTTCCTGATACAATTAATGATAAGTTTTTGACCAATCAGATCCCGTTCAGTATAAATCTTACAGTGTTGCTGCGATACGAATTATCGGTCTGTATATGAGCCATACATCGAGTCATCGATTTCCGAAGCTCGCCGAAAGTCTGCGATCCTTACAAAATCTTCACGATTTCACAGTTTCGTCACGTTTCTTAAAACTTTCTCAAGCAATATTTGCATTCACTCTTTAGTCAATCAGTCGATAGTTCCGCTCAGGTCCTCAAAAGTACATGTAATACACATGATTACCTCTTTAAAAAATAATTTCCCTCAGACAAGTAAACTTGAATGCTGCCTTTCACTCGTAATCTTTTCAAAAAGAATCATTTAATATATTAAATAATAACGAATAAATATCATTAAATCAATTAAACATTAACGGTCTTACTCGATTGCATGCAGTCACCACAAATGATGTTTGTGCGTGTGGGTTTTTTATGGAGGTAATTTTTATATAAATACATATATAAATATATATTTTTTATAAAAATGATTAAGGGAGCTTTATTATTTACTTAAACGTTTAAACTTCAAAAGGCATTAATTAGTCTTAACTTAACCGAGCCGTTCTCCCTTCCTAATTTGTTTTGCATTGAATTTTCCTTTTTTCTTGTGCATACCTTTTTTCAATAAACTTCTTTACTTGTATTTTCGAGAAATCTAGTATAATATGGATGGAGGAAAGTCATTAAGAAAAAAATGCCACCTCAACCGTAATCATTAATTCAACGTTTAATACCAGGAAAAACAGCCTTTCCGGTTTGATGTACGAAAGGTAATTTCTATTATTGATTGTAATTACTACTGCGCATTAACTATTGTGTTTAAACACAACTGATTTTCCTTTCATCCCGGCCACATAGTCCTCCTTCGATTTTTTATTAGGTGTGAGGCATGAGCACGGAAAATGATCACTGATTGATTTTCTTCTTGAGCTGGGGTTTTCTTCTCATAAAAGTAACGCCTGGCCTTTTTTTTTGAAGGGGCCTCTTCCAAAAAAAGGAATTTCAATGGTCAATAACAAACAAAAAGCAATTCTAATTTGATGAACTGACTGTGTTGCAGTCACAAAAAGAAAAATGTTATTTTAGTGCATGGAAAAAAAAAAAAGAAAGAAAAAAAAAGAGAGAGAGAGAGAAATTGGTGCACTGTGATAGGCTATGTCAAATGGGCCAAAATCCATTTTGAAACTTTATTTAAGTCAGCTTTATAAAACTCTTCTCACGTTGGGATTTCTCCAAAGCTCTAATGACCGGTTTTTTCAGTTCTACGGTATTGTGGTTATGACAAAGAAACTTTTCCATTTTCCCTATATGATAACAGAGATCAATCGTATCAGGAAATTGCACTAATCAATCCTTTGTTTGCCAGAACTTTGACGCGTACTCCGTAATCAGGTGCAACACCCTTTTCACTCCAAGGAATATTAAATAGACTAGAACGTAATTGTCGATACAAATTGGACACCAAACGGGCACGAAAGAGGCAAAATACTCATTCAAAATTTCAAGGAAAGTACCTTTGCGAGGAAATTATTCTAGTTCTGTAACTAACTTGCTACTCAAAGTGATTTTTAGAAATACATGATTTTGATCCGTATTAGCCGCACGGCTCTCATTTAGTAAAATGGTCGAACAATCTTTACCACATTTACGTTCAACCTTCATTAACCAAACAATTCCAAAGCTTGCATGTGCTACAGAGTTTCTTCTTTGAAACTACGATCGTAAAAATATATTTCAATTAGGCAAACTTGATGCAAAATTTAAAACATCTGTCCTATTGAAGTCTGAAAAAAGGTTTCGTGGGTTTGCATCTGAAAACAGTTGACGTTTTGCCCGCACATTAGAATAAAAAAAATCAATTCGCCAATTCGATGTCTAGGAGCGCCGAAGTAGCTTAAACGGCATGAAATTCAAGAAGAAAAAAACGGAATATTTTTTTTAAGAACTTTATTCGAAAATTTGGTTGAATTGAAGCGCATGTGGGCGTCGATTAGCACAGTTGTTTTACTTCCGCTTTCAGGTTTTGTTTTGTTGTTGTTTTTTTTTTTACAGGAGAAATAACATATTTACTTTGGTATTTATTTAAATATATTGGAAATCGCATCAAAACTCTCGGAGTTGAACATGTCATTACGCTTCATAGCCTCTGTTTTAGAAACGACTGCCCTCTGTGTCATTGGTTTGGCTGCATTTATCGGTAACCTAAGTTTGTTCATCATCGTCTACAAAGACAGAGATCTTCAAACTGTCACCAACTTGTATATTCTCAATCTAGCCGCGGCTGACATCATGGTTTCAATTATAAGCATTCCATTTACTTTAGTAACTATCATCGAAGACCGTTGGGTGTTTGGGGACACTTCTTGCGTGGCGCTTGGCTTTTTTACGATGTTGTCCTTTATTTCGTCCGTGATGTCTCTTGGCATGATCGCTATCAATCGATATTTCTACATCGTCAAATGGAACTCTTACCACCGAACCTTTTCCAGGAAAAAAGCCTTGCTCTATGCCGCCGCAGTTTGGGTGGTCGCAACATCTTTGGCTTCCCCTCCGCTTCTAGGCTGGGCAGAATATCGTTTCATCCCCGGAAAATCGTACTGTTTCGTTTTCTGGCCTTCAGATGTGCACTTCATGTATTTCATGATCACTGTATGCTTTTTCGGGCCTCTTTCAGCGATAATCTTGTCGTATTTTAACGTTTTAAAGTTTACAAGAGGCTTGAAAAGGAAACTTAGGAGGTCAAGAAATATCACGCCGCCGCCGGTTCGGTCTTTTCAATCTCCAACAGCTTCTGAACCCGGCAATAACGACATACATATAGACACCGACATTTCGGAAAAACCACAAATCAACGTTCCGCGAAAAAATAAATCGGATTCTGTATTAAAATCATTAGAGTCTTACGTGACACCAGAAGAAACGAGGATCACAAACACATTTCTGTACGCAGTTACCCTATTTGTCTTTTGCTGGGCACCATTTGCTATTACCATGTTCTTCGATGTGTATTACCCAAAGCCTTTACCGCGCGTACTTGACATGGCTTCCTTAATACTCGGTTATTTGAACAGTATGTGTAATCCTCTTCTCTACGGACTGCGTAACTCAACCTTCAAACAGGGATTTCTGAATCTGTACTCGAGGTTTCTACCCGCACGGTACAGACCAACAAATGTGACACAGCTGGAAATTAACGCGTGAACATTTCAATTTATAAAATATTGCATTAACCGTCATCTCAAATTGGGAGTACTTGTACCCAACTTGCAAGTGTCAAGCTCCCCTTTATGGCACAAATTAGAAAATACAGTTCGAACTGAAACTAACTTCCCTCTTTCGATCGCACAAAGGGCTTACGCCCGAAATGTCAGCTCGTTAGCCTTAGAAACTCATTACATTATCAACTCAATTGATAAAACTAAATTTTCTAACTTGCCTCGGTTGACCCCAATCGACGCATTGGAGATTTTCAATGTAAATTCACAATCATTATAACAATAATTAAGCGAATCATCTCTAATTTTCAAACGGCTGGAAATATGGACTAAATGACCAATGAATGAGTGAACGAGTTGTCAAATACTTTCTTGACATTTTTACTGCGAGTAAAAAACAACTGTTTATCGTATTTTTTTCATTGGTACCATTATAGAAGTTGGTGGCTGTAATGTAAATTTATGCAACTGATAACACGAATAAAGAAATATGTCACGAGTAGGACTAAGAGGAGAGATAATTTAGTTATCTTTTAAAACATGCAGAGTACACCCAATTATCTATCGACTTAACAAGCAGCTTCACAGTCTCGTTTGCTCTCTTTCCTTTCACAAAAAACAGACTGCATGTAAGTGAGTCAGTAATTAAAACAGACGACATTAAATGACCGGCTGTAACTGCAAATCAGACAGGTGAGATTTCCAGCAGAAATGAAAACATCATGAATACTGAGTGAATCCCACCAATCGCTGAAGAAACAAAAGTGCCATTATCACTTGCAAGAGATAAATGGCGTATCCTGAAGTAAAGAAGGGAGCTTTGGACAAATTAAATGCTCCAAAATTCTCTGCCCGGGGAGAACTCTCCTCATTTCGCTTTTTAGGGACAAAACAATTTTCAAATTGAAAACAAGAAAGCCATTATCTAAAAAAGATAAGTAAAGTTTTCAACTGCAGCCCACATGATTTTATGACGACTTGCAGCTTTTGTGGCGGCGCTTCCTGGTCTTTCACCTACCCATCCGTCGGAATAAAACACAGTGCTCCATGTCGTTTACGACCGATTAACATAACTAAACCGCGTTTTTGCAAAGACCTGTATAATCGTCTTGTATAGGCCTTAATTGGGAAGTTTATCGAAAGCCGAGACCAATGGAAATTTAATGGATGGCTATCAGGTGCTGTTAAGAGTATATTAATACCTGATATCGGTACTGCTTCCTAGTGCAGAGACCAAATTCATCCTTACTAATATTTCATAAAATAAAATCCATTTAAAAAAATGTTAAATAAAAAACTTCCACAATGACAGCTAGCTGAGGCCATTACAAGAATTCTTAGTTGTTTCAAAATTAGCATGCCTGAAGTAAACAACGGAAGATTTGTTAAAATAGATCCATAAACGTGAAATCGTTTTGTCTCACTCTGAATTCTCGAAAACTGAAGTGATGTCAAAACAGGAAAGTCTTAAAAATGTTTGCGTTCAATTGAATAGAGATGGTCAAGAAAATAATTGATTCTGGAAATGAAGTTCTGCCGTTTCGGTTCAAGCCGAAATGATCGTTGCAGATGTGAAAACTATTAAGTAAGTCTTATATGAAAGCCACCATAGCAATTTATCAATTTCATATATATACTATCTGTTGTTTGAAGAAAGTTTGCTCTTCCAAAGCGTAAAGACAAACTTGGCTTTTTCAGTCGTCAAGAAGTTTATGTAACCTTCCAATTCTTGTCTTTACCATTTAATGTTTACTTTGATGCTTTCCTGTGGTTAGAAAATTATGCAATTTCATAACATACTGAGCCAGTAATGAATCGGTTTATTGACGGTTTTATTTAATGCTGATATGTTACATGCGACTGTTATCTTTTGAAAGTCATAATGAATTCATTGCTAAAACTAACAGGCGATAAGAACAAGAAAAAAATCAAGAGAGAAAACCATTCAAACAAAACACAGGTGGTGATCTTCCTTGCCTCACACGCACAACTTTGATTAAAGTATTTTTAAAAGGTTGAAGTAATAGAGCGACAAAAACTTTGTACATCTCCCTCATCACTGCCTGCAAAATGTGTTGAGAGCTCGGTTTCTTTTGCAGGGCATGTTCCGTAGTATGTCGATAACATTGTGGCGAATATGCCTCATCTTCCAACAGTAAATTAAAGGGTTCAAAGTTGAATTCAGAAATACAAGAATGATTGTCAAAACATTCAAACTCCTAATAGTGCTATTCGGGCCGTTTATTTTCACTGCAAGCATTGAGGAAAAAAATGGAAAATACGAAACTAAAAACATGAGATGCACATACAATATACAAACTGCAGACTTAAGGGAGACAGCCAATCGTTTCACTTCACTGCACTGACCTGCTTCTTGTAATTGCAAGGACTGAATCTGAAACTTGTGCCGGCGGACAATGAAACGAATCCTGATGTTTATCAAAATACTAAGAAGGAAACCAATTGTTGAGATAACGGCATTAATCATAGGAACAGTATCTATAGAGACCAAAAACATCGTTAGTGAAAAAAATGTGCAAACCATCCAAATTGATATCACCACCGCAACAACACGCCTGTGAGTTACAAGTTCCTTGTACCTGAGATGAAGATGAATAGCTAAGAACCTGTCTACACTTATAGCTACAACACCCAAGAGCGAGACGTTTACAAGCGCACGCATAACGCCAGCCATCAAGTAGTAAATACTACAGCTAGGATTGTTCATTTGCAGCCAAGTGACCAGAAATGATGTGAAAAGAGGTTGAACGAATACACCAACAACAATATCAGAAACTGCAAGATTCAGCATCAATGTTCTCAATGTCTTTGGAACAGATGAACTTTTTCGTACAGCGTACAATGTCACAATGTTCAACATGATGGCGGTGTAAGCTGAAAAATTGTTGAAAATACAGCCGGCGACGAGTATCCAACGACAGTCTTTGAAGTCGGAATAGGAGGGTAAAAACTGCAGAACATCATCACAGTACAATACATTCATACTGATTGACCCTTTGTGGACAATTAGGACCTTTTTAGAGAAAGAGAAAAAATAATTTTTGATCGAACTCTTCTATAAGTTCATCAGGATTGACACACTCATCTTTTCGACGACTTTTTTTGATAAAACGACGCTGGTCTTGTGATAGCTTTCCATCACAGGGTCATGTGTTCATTTAATTTGATAGTTAGTTAATGGAAAATTTTTAAGGGGAGCAATTAAAGCCGCAGTACCGTGGTATAACAAAGTCATAAGCATTCTGGATAAGAGAAGTAATCGAAAGTGCTATTTGGAAATTTGATGGATATACATCCAATATAAAATCTGTAAAGCGGAGACTTTGAGTCTTCACATCAAAGAGGATCTCCCGATGATTAAAGGAATAATGGATTTCTTTTAGATTAAGTCAGACTGAGGGGCAAAGTTTAAAGAATGTAGAATTTCGCACCCGAAATTGGTCGCTGACCACTGGCGCATAGGAACCACCGCCTCTTATCTTTCAGGACTACTAATTTAACGGCACCTTTTAATGGATATACATCCCATATAAAATCTGTGAAGCGGAGACTTTGAGTCCTCACATCAAAAGGGATTTCCCGATGATTGCAATTTAAAGAATCGTGGATTACTTTTAAATTAAGTCAGACTAAGGAGCAAAGTTCATACTCATGGCGATGTGGGTAAAAATATTGTTGGAAATACAACCAGCGGCGGGTATCCAACGACGGCCTTTGAAGTCGGAATACGAGGGAATAAAACTACAGAATATCATCACATTCATACTGATTGACGTACAATTTTTTATGAAGGGATTTTTGTGAGCAAGTAGGACTCGTTTCAGGTGTTACGCACACCTAATGTAATGTTTTCATTTACCGTGATGAACAAAATGAAAGCAGTTACTTTTTGCTCATTCTCCTTATTTAGCTATTTAGGGACCAACCTTTTTCTTGTGCAAAACAATTCTTCAGCTTTAAAAACATGAAAGCCATCTTAAAGAATGAGAAAAGTTTTCAACTGCAGCCCACTCGCAGCATTTATAACTTCGCTTTCTGGGCTTTAAGCCACCCATCTGTCGGATGAACACAACACGCTCATGGTCGTTCACGACCAATCGAAATAACAAAACCAAGTGTTTTAAAGACCTTTCTAATCGTCCTGTAAATGTTTTGATTGGGAAGGTTATCGAAAGCCGTGACCCATAGTTAATCGATTAACTATGGTCTAAGTTAATTACGGTAATCAAGAAAAAAAAGTCTGAAATTCTGAAAATAAAGTTCTCCCGGTTCGGTTCAGGCCGGTTTGGTTCGGCGTCCATGAGGGCACTATTCATTACATCTTTCGAAGGAGACCACTGTTAGATGTTACATATTCCATATACAGCCTGTTCTTTCAAGAAAGTTTCCTCTTCAAAAGCGTAAAGACAAACGCAGCCTATTCAGTCGTCCAGTCTCCAACTTGTGGTAAACTCCCAACCCTTTATTACTGAAACATCTTCGATCCTTTCAATTTAATCATTACTTGGGCATTTTCCTGTGGGTCGAAAAATCATCGCGGCACACTATTTGAATATACCCAAAATCAGTTCACATTTTTACAATCTTGTTAATCAAAAGTTCATTCCCGTAACTGAAACCCTACTTTTATTTTGTGACAAGTGATGAGAATCTGATGACAAATAAGTACCATTCGTCCTGCAATCGATAAATTTCTTCATTGTAATTTTTCCCACAACCCTGACTAAAGTTATGGAAATGTACGAAAAATATTTACATGTCGATTTCTTCTCTGCGTCAAGGGTTCACTGTTATGCAACAGGAAGATGATTGTTTCCCTTGCGCAGGTACGACGTCCTTGTGTACCGATTCATTACTTGGAAATAGTATTTGACATTAGAAAAGCAGTTCAAATTCACACGTCATTAAGATAGCTCACCTGTTGAGCCTGGTGGTTTTGGCGGCTATGTCAGTTATAATACACTG